TACCTACATTGTTTTACGTATAGATTCTTTTCATATACATTTGTTTGTGTACAAATTCTTTTCCGAATATATTACTTATGGTAAATTTTGCATATAAATCCATTGACGTATCGATTCTTTTTAAAGATGATATTGTAGCAAGAGGCCTTTTTTGCACATAGGTTCTTTTATATGTAGGTCTTTATGTATATACATTCTTTTACGTATCAACTATTTGTCAGGTAGATATTTTAGCAATATATCTGTTTTCCATATAGGTGCTTTTATGCATAAATCCTTTTTGCTTATACATTTATTCATGTAAAGACTATTTCATGTAGATATTTTAGCAACAGATCTGATATGCACATAGGCAATTTTATATATAGTCCTTATGCATATACCGTGTGTAACAACAAAATTGCCCAAATCGTATACAGCAAAATTGTCCAGGTTTGAAAAGTTGCATCTTAGAAATGATTAAAGATATCTAACTGGAATTCTCCGAGACTTTTTAAACACTACTGGACTCTATTCTGAACAATAAAAATGTATTTAGTTCTATGTTTTAATGATCATCCCACTTGCTTTTGAGACCCCCCACCCTTATCCATTTTTCCTCTTTATTGTTTCCTCTTTTTGAAACCTATTCACAGTTCTCTTGATGGTTTATGAATGGACTTTGAAGATGGAAGCCATATTATGTACGTTGGTACATTAACTAAAGGCCTGAATGATCTTTTTCCTCTCACCATTGCTCAGTTGGGATATATATATATATATTTATATATGTTCTTTCTAAATGCTAACCAAAGTATTAAGAAACAGAAACATTTCAGTAGAAACAAAGTGTACTGTACTGCTATATAATATCATATAACAGATGATTCTCGAGAATCTGAAGAAGTGACTTGAACCAAAAGAAATGTTCTACAGAAGGATTCTGGGAATGCCATGGAATGAATATGTGACCAACGACGACGCTTTAGAGAACATGGAAGCAAAAAAGGGCACTTATACTTAACATTAGGAAAAACAGCTGAAATTTCTAGGGCATATAATGAGGAAAGAAGGCTTGGAGAATTTGATGCTACAATTTTCCCAAGTCCTGTTGTCGATCCTTATCCATCAACCTTGTCTTAATCTCCTACAGTCACCTCTTTCATTCATGTCACAGACCTCATTCCGCATTACCATTTCAAGAGTAGCCGTCTACCTTGAAGGCTTTCGTGCCTTCTATTAGGTGAATTTAAATTCAAGTATAAAAAAAAACAAGAATAATTTGTAAAATTAAGTACCAAATGAACCGGAATACACACACACACACACACACACACACACACACGTGTGTGTGTGAGAGAGCGTGTGTGTGTGTGTATTTAGGCAGAAACTTTTCTTTTAGGCATGTCTGATTAAATAAATTACAGACATTAAGTCTGTTAATTTTTAACAAAATCCGTTAATACTCACGAATAACCTTCCGTGTATTGATATTAAAGGATGAGAGAAATATGGTATAGCTGTTTAAATTTCTTTTATTATAATTTCCCAAGTACTTTCGATCTTCTTCTAAGATAATCTTCAGGGATGCAAGTAGTACAAAACTAGATACTGTTCAGGGGTACAAGTATTTATACAAAGCTGTGTGTTGGTATCCATTCCCGTAATTTTTCTTTATTCTTTTAAATGCAATGTTGACAATGAGCTGAGCGTTCATGAGTACGTGAAAAAATTATCCATTTTTATAACATGGAGGAAAATATTCCATAATGGATAATCTATTCAATCAGACATATTATATATATATATATATATATATATATATATATATATATATATATATATATATATATATATATGGTGGTTCTCACCTACAAAAAACCTTGGGTATATTGGCTTGTAATAGACCAAGCTAGTACCCAAGGAAAAATGAGGAATAAAAAAAGAAAGAAATAAGAACATGGAATTGAAGCGAAAACAATCGTCCAGAGTTCAAGCTCATAGTCCAAAGAAAAAAAAAAAACCTCCAAAACGAGTAAAAGTAACTCCGTAAAGTGCTCAATACACGGAGCAGAGCAAACCTAAAATAAACCTAAAGAGCCAGGAAAACTAGCTAGGTTTCATCTAAACGGATCGTCAAGGAAATGCCGGCCCCTAGGTATGTTTGCCTGGCTCTTTATATATATATATATATATATATATATATATATATATATATATATATATATATATATATGAAGCACTATAGTTTTAAAGGTGTGTGCTATATTTATGGGACAAAGTGCTTAATATTATTTATATTTACATGAGCGCGCGTACACACACACACGCACACACACACACACACACACACACACACACACATATATATATACATATGAATGTATATGAGCGGTTCATGGAAGATTGAAGTTTAAAAACAGTAAAAACAATGTTGCTCTTCGAACGGTTTTTCTGGCTCGATCGGTTACGAGGACGTCAGGCTGCATGACGGTTCCGTAGAGGTTCGAATCCTGTCCGAGAGCGAATATTTTCTATGAGGATTTCTCGGACATTCAGGCCGGTAAATGTTATAAATACTGTTTGAGCATTTAATTAAATATTTGTATCTATAAAAATGAAACTGTTTATATATATATATAATAATAAAAAAAAACAACAAATGAAAACTACAGACAAAAGTTCATTTTCTCCATCAAGACATTTTGTTCTGTAGTTCAATGCTACCAGCAAGCAGAAAATTATTTTCTCCTGATGATGGCCATGTTGGCCGAAACTAGTCGAGGAATCTAAATGAAATAATCATAAAAACGAAGGAAAATTAATATACAACCCAGTGTGTCTGAAGATTTTAATTTTTTAATATTTTTTATTGTTCAATATATATATATATATATATATATATATATATATATATATATATGTGTGTGTGTGTGTGTGTGTGTAAATATCCATGTAATGATAAAATATATATAATAAAATAATATGTAATAAAATAAACATAAAAATACAATAAGAAGGCATGAATCCCTCACAGTCGCTGTGGTTGAAACATTTTTCAATGGGTCACTTTTTTAAAAAGTTTGCTAGAAATAAATTCACCTTTCATTCGGCACGATAAAATTCTCTTGTATGAAATTCAGCTTCTATTTTAAAGCTCTTGCAATGCCGTTAAAAAAAAAAAAAAAAGATTTCGCTTTACTATTCAGATATTACTTACTGAATACAAGCTACCTTGACGGAGTATTTATTTCCGGCACTGCATTCAAAGGCATTCAGTAAAAACGATTAGAAAGATGACTGGTGCCTGAACAGGAATAGAAAAAGACGCTTTCCTCAAGGCAAGCTTCTAATTATACTCAAACAGAAAAGGTTAAGATGGCTACAATGAATAAGCGACAGATTGGAGCACGTATCATGGAAAATGTGAATTAGTAATGTTTGTAAGCTTGTTGGCAACGAATCGTTTGCCTCAAGGTATGAAGAGATCGTGAGGATTCGTACAGTACACGCTTGCTAGTTATATTGGTAGTGTTGAAGTTTTTGAATTTGAGATTGTCCTAGTTTGTGTTCTTCGCTGTGGCTGATTTCATGTGTTCGCTAGATTTAACTGGCTTCATTGGATCTTATATAGGATACAAATTTTACCTTGTGGCATACGTCAACATGAATTTTATTATCTCAGCGAGCAGGAATTAATGCGTATGTGGAGCCGAAGAAAATCAGGAAAAAAAAATAGACGGCCATGTTGTGCAATGGAACAATTGATAGGCCGCCTACGTTTTTGTATTGGATATGATCAAGGCTTCTTGGGAAATAGACAGCAAAGAAGGAAGGAAGAAATGAGAAAGAGGGAGAGTGGGTGAGAAAAAGAAAGAAAGGAGAAAGAGATAGACGAGAGAGAAAAAAGCAGAAGGAAGTGAGAAAGCAAGGAAAGAAGGAAGGAAGGAAGGAACAACGAAGGAAGGAAGGAGGGAAGGAAGGAACGACGAAGGAAGGAAGGAGAAAATGGTTAGCGAAACAAAGATAGGATGGGAGGGATTGAGGAAGGAAGGGAGGAAAGAAAGAAGGAAGAAAGGAAGGAACGACGAAGGAAAATAAGGAAGGAAGGAGAGAAGGAAGGAATGACGAAGGAAGGAATGACGAAGGAGGGAAGGAAGGAACGACGAAGGAAGGAAGGAGAAAATGTTTAGCTAAACAAAGATAGGATGGGAAGGATTGAGGAAGGAAGAGAGGAAGGAAAGAAATAAGAAAGAAATGGACAAACGAAGGAAAGGACAAATAAATGAAGGAAAGGAATAAAAAGATAGACAAGGAAGGAAGGAAGGAAGGAAGGAAGGAAGGAGAGAAGGAAGGAATGACGAAAGGAAAATGACGAAGGAGGGAAGGAAGGAACGACGAAGGAAGGAAGGAGAAAATGTTTAGCTAAACAAAGATAGGATGGGAAGGATTGAGGAAGGAAGAGGAAGGAAAAAAGAAAGAAATGACAAACGAAGGAAAGGACAAATAAATGAAGGAAAGGAATAAAAAGATAGACAAGGAAGGAAGGAAGGAAGGAAGGAAGGAAGGAAGGAAAGATAAATGCAAAAAATCAAAAGCAAAAAAAAGTGAGGAAAAAGGGAATGTAGGAAGAGACAAAGGAAGGATTGGGGGAAAGAAAGAAAGAAATAGGAGGTAGGCAAGTGAAGAAAAAATTAAGGAAAGTAAAGAACTAAGAAGCTAGGAAGGAAACAATGCAGGACTGGATAATGGAAGGAATGAAGGAAACAGGGAAAGAAGGAAGGAAGGAAAAGTAATAAAGAGATAAGGATGAAGGAAGGAAAAATTTAAAGAAGGAAAAGATGGATAAAAAAGAAAAAAAAGAAAAATGTGGAGGAAAGAAGGAAATGGAGGAAGAACCAAAGAAAGAAAAGAAAGAAGGAAGGAATAGATACGCGATGAAAAATATTAAGGCAAGAAGGAGCCTAAGAAGGAAACAATGGAGGACAACACAAAGAAAAGAACAAAGTAAAAAGAAAGTGTCATGGAAGGAAGGAAGGAAGGAAGGAAGGAAGGAAGGAAGGAAGGAAGGAAGGAAGGAAGAGATAGAGAAGAGAAGAAAAAATAAGTAAGGGTGGAATTAGGAAGCTAGGAAAGAAACAATGGATGACTAGGCAAAAGAAAGAAAGAAAGAAGAAAGGAAGGAAAAAGAAAATGAAGAGAGAAGGAAGGAAAGAAGTTAAAGATGGACAACAAAAGAAAAAAATGAAAGAGTGGAAAGATGGAATGAAATGTAGGAAGAGACAAAAGACGGAATGGAGGACAGAAGAAACGAAGAAAGATATAGACAAGAAAAAAAGATTAAGGAAAAGAGGGAGATAGGAAGGAAACTATGGAGGACTAAATAAAGGAAGGAAGGAAGGAAGGAAGGAAGGAAGGAAGGAATAGAATAGACAAGTAAAGAAAAGTATTAAGAAAAGGAACAAGCTAGGAAGGAAACAATGTAGACAAGACAAAGAAAAGAAGAAAAGAAAAGGAAAAAATTGTCATAGAAGGAAGAAAGAAAGAAAGAAAGGAAGAGATAGACAAGAGAAGAAAAAATTAAGGAAAGGAAGGAAACAATGGATGCCTAGGCAAAGGAAAAAAGTTACAAAAGGAAGAGATAGACAACGAAAGAAAAATGAATGAGAGGGGGGAAGTAATGAAATGTAGGAAGAGACAAAGGACGGAATGGAGGAAAGTAGGAAAAAAGGAAGGAAGGAAGGAAGGAAGGAAGGAAGGAAGGAAGGAAGGAAGGAAGGAAAAGATAAGAGAAGAAAAAGATTAAGGAAAAGAGGAGGCTAGGAAGCAAACAATGAAGGATACGACAAAGAAAGGAAGAAATTATCAACGAAGAAGCTGTGAAGGAAAAAAGAGAGAGAGTGGGGAGAGACAAGACAGGAAGAATAAGTAAAGGGGTAAGCAAGAAAAAAAGCAATGGAGGACTAGGCAAAGTAGGCAAAAGAAGAAAAAGACTAAGAATAGTAGGAAGCAAATAAGTAAACAGTGAAGGATTTGATAAAGGAAGGAAGGAAGACATGAAGGAAGGAAGAAATGAAGAGATAGGCAAGAGAATAAAAAAGTTTAAGGAAAGGAGGAAGCTAGTAAGGAAGGAAGGAAGGAATGAATGGATGAAGGAAGGAAGGAAGAAAGGAAGGAAGGATTAAAGACGAGATAGACAAGAGAATAACATGTCTTAGGAAAATCGGAAGCAAGGAAAGAAAGAATGGAGAACTAGACAATGGAAGGAAAATGAAGATATAGACAAGAGAAGAAAAAACATTACGGAAAGGCGGAAGCAAGGAAGGAAAGAATGGAGTACAAGACAAAGGAAGGAATGAATGAAGAAAAGAAGAGATAGAAAAGAGAATAAAACATTTAATGAAAGTAGTAAGGAAAGAAACTATGGAAGACTCTAGAAGGAAATGAAGAAAGGAAAAAGGAAGAAAGGTTCAATGAAGTAAGTAAAGAAGGAAGGAAGGAAGGAAGGATGAGAGAGACAACAGAAGAAAAAGTTTAAGGACGGGAGGATGCAAAGAAGGTAGGAAAGGAAAAATAGAGGATTAGAAAATGGAAGGAAAGCTAAATTAAAAAAGAGACAATGAAAGAAAGAAATAAAGGAAGGAATGGAAGAAGAGAGAGACAAGAAAATAAAAAAAGATTAAGGGGGGAAGAAGCAAGTAAGATAGGAAGGAAATCATGGAAGACTAGAAAATGAAAAGAATGAAAAAAGAAAGAAACGTCAAAGGAAAGATGGAAAAGAAAGGCAAGAGAAAAAGTGTAAGGAAGCGGGAAGCTAAGAAGGAAACCGCGGAGGATTATACCAAAGACGGAAGGAATGAAGGAATAGTTAAGGGCGGAAAAAAGATTGAGGAATGGGGGAAGCTAGGAAGGAAACAATGGAGGACTAAATAAGAAATGAAGGAAGAAAGATATGATGGAAGGAAGAGAAGGACAAGAGAAGAAAAAAAGTGGAATGAAAGGGGAAGCTGAGAATAAAACATGGAGAGTTCAAAGGAAATGTTTGAAGAAAGGAATAAATTAGCAAGAAATTGTAAAAGAATGGTAGGAAGAAGGCGAAAGAAAGAGACAAAGGAAGGAAGGAAGGAAGGAAGGAAGGATAAATCACAAAAGAAAGCAGGAAGAAGCAAACACAGAAGTGATAGACAAAGAAGAAATGAGGTAAGGAATAGAGATAAAAAAAAATGGAGGACGAGGCAGAAACAGGGGAGACAGTTGAAGAAGAAAGGAAGGAAAGATATAAGTTAAGAAATAAAATGTGGAATGAGAGGAGAAAATGAGGAGAATAAAAAGGAAAGAAAGGAAGAAAAGAATAGACTGAAGAAAGCAGGAAGGTAGGAAGTAAACAAAGAAGAGATAAAGAAAAGAAGAAAAGAGGCAATGAAGACAAATAGACAAAGGGACTAGCGGGAAATAGGAGAGAGGAAAACAGGGAAGCGAGAAAGAGAGAGAGAGAGAGAGAGAGAGAGAGTGAGAAAGAAAGGAATAAAGCGATGGATATTGGAAGACAGGATGAAAGGGAAGAAACAATAAGGCGACAATGCAGAAAGTAAGAAAGAAGGAAGAAAGAGAGAAAGAAAGAAAGAAAGAATATCTAAGATGAAACGAAAGATGAAGAATAAAATAATGAATGAAAAGAAAGAACGAACGAAAGAAAGCCACAGGAGATTAGAAAGAAAAAGGAAAGAAAGTACAAAGAAGTAAGTAAAAGACAAAAGAAAGAAAGGCAGAGTCGGAAGAGAGGAGAGAAGGAAAAAAGGAAGCGAGAAAGAGAGAGATATATACATAGGTAGAAAGAGAGGAAGGGAGGAAGGAAGGAAGAAATAAAGCGATGGATATTGGAAGAGAGGATGAAAGCGAAGAAACAAAAAGGAGACAATGCAGAAAGAAAGAAAGAAAGAAAGAAAGAAAATGAAAGAAAGAAAGAAAGAAAGAAAGAATATCTAAGGTGAAAAGGCAGATAAAGAAATGAAATAATGAATGGAAAGAAAGAAAGAAAAAAAAGAAAGAAAGTCAGATGAAGATAGGAAGAAAAAAGAAAAGAAAGTACAAAGAATTAAGTAAAAGACAAAAGAAAGAAAGGCAGAAAGAATAAGGAAAGGAAAGAACAGAGTAAGAAATGTGTGGGCAGGGGGGGAGGGAAATAAGCCTAAGAGGGAAGAGGAAGCGACTCTAACGTAAAAATTAGAAGAATCATTTGGAATTAATATCATGAAACAAGATGATGAATGAAAATCCAGACTCACTTTAATTTGGACTAAATTGTGATAAAGTAGTTTTAGATGAGGGCCATGAAGGAGATGGGAATAAAAAGTTTTCTTCCACGGAAACACCGTCAAGTCACGTTGAAACACCGCTTCTCCTACGATCACCAAAGTTAAGCTATGTCGAGCCAGGTCAGTACTTAAACGGGTGAAGGTTTGGTAACCATCATCATCATCATCATCCTTCAACCTCCCTATGGTAGGTCGGAACTCCATCGACAATCCCTTTCCATACTGTTCAGTCCAGTATTGCTGTCCCTAGATCCCCAATGTCCAACCCTGAGTACCGAGCTATGGTGTCTGGGAAAGTAAATTTTCATGAGAAGACACTTCTAGAAGGATGTCATTGGAGTAAGGATGATACGATTTACCTGTCCGCTCGGTGACAGCGACCTGAAACCTGTAATCGTTTTTGTTTAAGCTTAAGAGAAATTGGTCTTAGTTCTCCATAAGTTGTGTTAAGTATTGCATGGGATCTCCAACTGATATTCTGGATTTTTCTAAGTAGATTTGTATATGTTTCATCCAATCGTCTTTCAAGACGAATAGATAATGTCCAAGTTTCTGATTCCTGCAGTAGGATTGGTTCAGTCAATGTTCGAAAGGTTTGAACTTTTAAAGAATAAATATTGATTTCACTCAGTTAAAGTATTTCCTTTAAAGAAACTATTAGAATAGAAGATACGCTTATATCTAGCTATTTCAGCCGTAAAAAGATGGGACCTAATAGCCAATCTAACATTACGCCTCAATGTATGCGATCGAGAAGAGAGATCACTAGAACAATTGCCATGAAATTATCATAGAAAAGAGAGAGAAGCTGATAGTACTGAGTTTGATCCTAATTAAGCGCTCCATATTTTTGACCTTGTGCCATCTTTCTATATATATTCTTTTCAACAGTTTGATCTTTTATTTGGGGTTGAAAATAGTAATAAATTTGCCTCCACCCACAGAAGATTTCATTCGAATGCAGTTAGAAATCAGGAACATTTTCAAGTTAATAGTTTATAGTTTATAATTATAAACTTCAAGTTAATATTTAATAGTTTATAATTATGTTATGATGTTAATTTGGGGTTAGTAAAGGCAAACGCCAAATAACACGTAACAATAAAAAGGGGTTTATTCGGTTGGTAAGTTGGTACAGAAATCGCCTGAGTAGTCTATAACTAGCTCAGCCAAGAACTTCTCCGACTCTGTCTGTCTTTTGACATGCCACTATTTAACGGCTTTGTTTGTAGACAAGTTCATCTTCAAGAGGGGTGGTAGGTTTCCTACACAACAATTTATAAACTTCATGCATTTATGTGCTTGTAAAACGAGGAATAATCCAAGTATATAGATAAGCGGAAATTTATGTCATAGGAGTTTACAAGCCAGCCATGTGTAAAATTACTGGCGGCTTCTGCCAAAAAGTATGGCTTCAACATTTTTTTCCGATAAAAGAACTTGAACACAGAAGAGGGGGGTAACATTTTGTCGAAAATGTGTTTCACTGCCGTAAATAGTTAAAGAGTCAAATTTGCAGATCCCTATTAGTGATTACGATCCTCACTAAGTGATCCGTAGTTCTACCAAAATTAAGGTTCGATTAGTAAATATTGATTTCACTCAGTTAAAGTGTTTCCTTTACGTTTAAACTGTCTCTAGAATCCTAAGGTGTTAGCGAATTTATGTTGATTCCTTCTTTTCAGAAAAAATATTTTTTAACGTTTCAAAAACTTTGCAGAAAGATTGCCTCATATACTCCTAAATTTGTCATTTGCATAACGGAGAGTATTTAGAACACACTGAATGCAAACCTTGGACAGGAGTTAAAAAAAAAAAAAAACACCTTAAAACGAGGCTACGTACAAAACAAATTCTCTACTTTTCTAACTATGTGTTAACCGGAATTAGTACTATCTTTTTAACGCAGGTTTAAATGTACTTACATCTACTTAGTTGCCCTTCTGTAAACTGGGCTTAAATCTACCTTTTTGGCTTTGTGGAAACCGGGCTTACATCTAAACCTTCTTAATCTTGTGTAAACCGGGCTTAAATCTCCTTTTTCGACACTTGTAACCGGGCTTACACATAACCTTTGTGACCGTTGTGGAAACCGGGCTTATATCTACCTTTTTTACCCTTGCAAAAACCGGGTTTACAAATAACCTTTGTGACTGTTGTGGAATGCGGGCTTACATCTACTTTTTTTACCCTTGTAAAAGCTGGGCTTACATATAACCTTTGTGACCGTTGTGGAAACCAGGCTTAAATCTAACCTTTTTGAATCCTTGTGTAAACTGGGCTTACATCTAGCCTCTTGACGTTTGTGGAAACCGGGCTTATATCTAACGTTTCTACTCTTGTGTAAACTGGGTTTACATCAACCTTTTTTACCCTTGTAAAAACCGGGCTTACGTCTAATATTTTTGACCGTTGTGTAAAGCGGGCTTACAGCTAAGTTTTCGACCCTTGTGTTAAGCGGGTTAACAGCTAACCATTTTGACACTTGTGTAAAGTGGGCTTACCTCTACCTTTTTGACGCTTATGTAAACCAGGCTTACATCTAAACATTTTGATACTTTCGTAAACCGGGGTTACATGTACCTTTAAACCATTGTACAAATCGGGCTTACATCTAAACTTTTTTTACTCTTGTAGAAACCGGGCTTACATCTACCTTTTTGACCCCTGTGTAAACCTGCTTATATGTACCTTTTTACCCTTTTGTAAACCAGGTTTAAATCTAACTTTTTGACCCTTGTGTAAACTTGGCTGACTTGAAACTATCTTGGCTCTTGTGTAAACCTGGTTTACATCTATATTTTGACTCTTCTTGAAACCGGGCTTAAATCTAACATTTTTGACCCTTGTGGAAACTGATCTTAAATCTAGCTTTTTGACATTTGTGGAAACCAGGCTTATATCTAATCTTTTTTTACCCTTGTGTAAACCGGGTTTACATCTACCTTTTTGACTCTTGTGTAAAGTGGGCTTGTATCTACCTTGTTGAACCGTATTGAAGCCGGGCTTACGTGTATCTTTTTGACCTTTGTGCAAAGAGGGTTTACATCCATATTTTGATCCTTATGTATGCCCGGCTTACCTTATTGACCCTTGTGGAAACCGGGCTTACATCTATCTTTTTTTTATTCTAGTGGAAAGCGGGCTTACATCTATATTCATATCCTTGTGTAAGCCAGGCTTACATCTACCTTTTTCATCCTTGCAGAATCCGGGCTTACATTCAATGTTTTTGATCTGTGTGTAAACCAAACTCACCACTACCATTTTGTCACTCGTGCAAATCGGCCTTACATCTAAACTTTTTGTCCCTTGTATAAATTGGCCTTACTTCGGGCTTACATCTACCTTTTTGTCCCTTGTGTCAAACTGGATTTTATCTACATTTTTAGTCATATTTTGGTAGTTTAAACAGCACCTGTGGATATCCTTTGGTAATGTAAACAACACACGTGGATATCATTTGGTAGTGTAAACTGCACATGTGGATATCCTTTGGTAGTATAAATCGCACCTGTGGATATCCTTTGGTAATGTAAACAGCACATGTGGATATCCTTTGGTAATGTAAACAGCACATGAGGATATCCTTTGGTAGTTTAAAGTGCACCTGTGGATATCCTTTGTTAGTGTATACCACACATGTGGATATCCTTTGGTAGTGTAAACAGCACACGTGGATATCCTTTGGTAGTGTAAACAGCACACGTGGATATCCTTTGGTAGTGTAAACCGCACCCGTGGATATCCTTTGCTAGTGTTACCCGCGCATGTGGATATCCTTTGGTAGTGTAAACCGCACCTGTGGATATCCTTTGGTAGTCTAACATTTTACAGTAGTGTAAACCGCATACATGTGTACCATTTTGACCCAAGCATAAACTAAACGAATATCTGTTTATTTTTCATCTTGTGGAAACCGGACCTTTCTAGCTATTTAACTCTAGTGTAAACTGAACCTATATTTGCAGTTTGATACGAGAGAAAATTTGACCGTTATCTACATTTCTAAAACTGATGTAAGATCAATTTTCCCTCTAGTGTAAACCGGACCTATGTCTATTTGTCTATTAATTTATTATGTTTTAAGACATTAAATAACCCAACAAATATTGATATACTTTTAAATCAACCAAGCAAAGAAAAAAAAATATTTCTTTGTTAGAGATTTCACGGCTAATCTGAAAATTTGCTTCCATGTGATTAATCAATTCCACCAGAAAAAATGTTTTTAATTTAGTTTGTTTCCTATTTCTTATAAATCCGGAAGTTCCTTCTCATCTGTGAGGGGGGTGGGTATATGTCCCATGAATTTTGAAGCAGTTATCTGAAACAAAACCTTCGATATATTATATTTTCCTGGAATATTTATATTAAAGTTTATACGCTCATTAGGCACAAAATAACATAGAGTAATATAATTTATAATTACATTCTGTAATAAAAGTTATGTGACAGGAAGAAGGTTCATTTTTTTACCGTATATCTTATCAGGCACAATAAGAGATTAACAATTATAACTAATAATAATATAGAACAATTATAATAATATACCGTAATAAAAGTTATGTGACAGAAAGACGGTTCATTTTTAACTTTGTTATTAACCACAGTAAGAGATTAACAGTAATAACTAATTATAAAATAGAACAATTATAATAATATACTGTAATAAAGACAGAAAGAAGGTTCATTTTTACCGTAGATCTTCTTAGGCACAATAAGAGATTAACAGTAATAACTAATAATAACATAGAACAATATACTGTAATAAAAGTTATCTGTCAAAAAGAATGTTCGTTTTTGTTGTAGATCTTATTAGGTGCAAGAAGTAATAAACAGAACTAAGTAAAAATAAAACAGAACAATTAGAAAAATATTATCTGATAAAAGATATGCAACATATAGCAGATTCCTTCGTACAATCGACCTTAACA